ACATTTCACCGTTGATATTATATGGGTATAAGGGTGGCATTTTACTGTTGTTGTGTTTGTTGGAATATTGTCTGGGCGGAGCGATAAGGGTGGCTATAGGAGCGATAAGGGTGGTAATTGGAGCGATGAGGGTGGCTATTGGTATTGTCTTGGCGGAGCGATAAGGGTGGCTATATAAGAGATAAGGGTGGCAATAGGAGCGATAAGGGTGGCTATTGTCAGGGATGATATGTGATGATGTGGGGTTGTGGTGTTGAAAATTTTCATGTGATGTTGTGATTTTCTTGTGTTTATTTTTATACTTTGTGCAACTTGTCTTGTTGTTAGTAAATTGATAATAATCTGATTTATGTTGAAATTGGGAGCCTGTGGCTATTGCCAGGCAGTTTATAAAATGAAATATGGGCACGGGATGCCGTGAATTGTGATATAAAATGGGGATATTGGCACGTGAATTGTCCGTGCAGCTGTGATATAAAATGTGGGCATGAGGTGCTGTGATGAATGATAATGATATTTGGCATGTGAATTGTCCGTGCAGTTGTGATATGAAATGAGGGCACGAGGTGCCGGAAAAATATAATGATTTAATTATGGGCATGAGGTGACGTGAAAATATAAAAATGGGCTGAGGCCCGTGTTTATGAAAACTATAAAAATGGGCTGAGACTCGTATTTTGATGATTAAGAAATAAGGTGTCACATGGTTACTTTTTAATTGAAAGAATTATATTCAAAATATTTTATTTGGAAGGATTTTTACTTAGAAAGTATTATATAAAAGAATTGTATTTGAAAGATATTTATTTGAGGAAATTGTATTTGAAAAGATTTATTGAAAAAATTATATTTGAAAAAAATAATTATTTGAGAAAATTATATTTGAATGAGAGTTATCCGGAAGAAATATGTGAAAGACATTTATTTGAAGGGCTTGATTTAATTGGGTGTAATTGTGTTTATTAATTGCTGAGTGATATTAATGGTATTCTTGTTGTCTCTTGTGCATATCACTGGTTGTTTTATCCTGCCTTTATTATTATTATTTGTTTCCTATTATTTTGTATATTGTATTGCACAGGTTATTAGACTAGTGAGTGTCTTGACTGTACCTCGTCTCTACTCCATTGAGGTTAGTCTTGATACTTACTGGGCACCGCTGTGGTGTGCTCACTCTACACTTCTGCACATTTTTGTGCAGAGCCAGGTATTGAAGATAACAGACTTGAGCAGAGTTAAAGCGGGATCGTAAGGATTCAAGGTAGAGTTACTTGGTCGTCGCAGTCCCTTGGAGTCTTTACATTTTATTGTACTGTTAACTTGTAATCAAACAATATTGTATATTCGGTCCTCGTGATCATTCTATGTATTCAGTTAGAGTTCGTGACTCAGTACTACCAGTCTTGGGAGGTTGTATATTCATTTTTGTTCCGCTGTCAGTTTTGATTATTTATTAAAAAAAAGGCTTCAAAAGGTAATTGAAATCAGCTACCTAGTCTTAGAGACTAGGTGCCATCACGATGCCTGTGGTGGGATTTTGGGTCGTGACAAGTTGGTATCAGTGCTCTAGGTTCGTAGGTTCTACGAGTCACGAACGAGTCTAGTAGAGTCTTGCGGATCGGTACAGAGACGTCTGTACTTATCTTAGAGAAGCTACAGAACTGTTAAGAAATTTTCATTTCTTTCATTCTTGTCGTGCGGAATTTGTTGAATTTGGAATTTGAACCTTTGTATCTCCATTCTCTCACAGATGGTGAGGACACGTGCTACTGGGTTAGCTGAGCCAGCATCCGCACATACTACTAGGGCTGCAAGAGGCCGGGGCTGAGGTAGAGGCCGAGGTAAAGGTCGAGGAAGGGCAGATGCTGTGACTAGAGCACCTGTCAGAACAACGGTTGAGGAGCCACTAGTAGCTCTAATTGGGGGACAGGTACCAGAAGCACCTATTGTTACCCCAAGACTTCAGGAGACCTTAGCACAGTTCCTGAATATGTTTGGTACATTAACTCAGGCGGGATTGATCTCTGTTGCACCAAATGTTTCGCAGATTGGAGGAGTAGCTCAGACTCCTACCACAACTCCAGAGCAGCAGGTTCACGTTGGTCAGGTTCCGGATGTAGTACCAGTACAACCGGTTTGGCCTGAGGTCAGGCCCGAGGCATCAGAAGAAGAACAAAATAAATTTGAAAGGTTTAAGAAATATAATCCACCAACTTTCAGTGGCACAGCTACAGAGGATGCCCAAGAATTTCTGGAAAATTGTCACCGTATTCTCCGCACCATGGGTATTGTGGAAGTGAGCGGAGTTTCCTTTACTACATTTCAACTGTCAGGCACAGCGTATCGGTGGTGGTAAATCTATGAAGAAGGTAGACTAGCCGATGCCACACCACCAACTTGGACTCAATTTTCGAAAATGTTCTTGAAAGAGTTTATTCCCTAGACTCTTCGAGATGCGTGGCGTACAGAGTTTGAACGGTTGCGTCAGGGCACTATGACAGTGTCAGAATATGCTATCAGGTTCAGTGAGTTAGCCCGTCATGCACCTATCTTAGTTCCTACAATCAGAGAACGGGTCCGCAGATTCATTGAGGGGCTCGATTATGATATTAAAATATGCATGGCTAGAGAGTTGCAAACTGATGCTCCATTTCAATAAGTAGTGGAGATTGCAAGGAAGATTGAGGGTGTTTTAGGTGAGGACAGGGAGTCTAAGGAGGCCAAAATGTTTCGAAGATCTGGAGGATTCAGTGGATTTTACTGTTCAGCTAGAACCTATTATAGCGGAGGCTCGAGCAGTTGATCAGCTCAGTCCGCACATCAGATTACTCGGAGTGGCATTTTACTATTGTTGTGTTTGTTGGAATATTGTCTGGGCAGAGCGATAAGGGTGGTTATTGGTATTGTCTGGGCGGAGCGATAAGAGTGGCTATAGGAGCGATAAGGATGGCAATATGAGCGATAAGGGTGGCTATTGTCAGGGACGATATGTGATGATGTGGGGTTGTGGTGTTGAAAAGTTTCATGTGATGGTGTGATTTTCTTGTGTTTATTTTTATACCTTGTGCAACTTGTCTTGTTGTTAGTAAATTGATAATAATCTGATTTATGTTGAAATTGGGAGCCTGTGGCTATTGCCATGCGGTTTATAAAATGAAATGTGGGCACGAGGTGCCGTGAATTATGATATGAAATGGGGATATTAGCACGTGAATTGTCCGTGCAGTTGTGATGTAAAATGTGGGTATGAGGTGTTGTGATGAAATGATAATGATATTTGGCACGTGAATTGTCCATGCAGTTGTGATATGAAATGAGGGCACGAGGTGCCGGAGAAATATGACGATTTAATTATGGGCACGAGGTGTCGTGGAAATATGAAAATTGGCTGAGACGCGTGTTTACGAAAAATATAAAAATGGGCTAAGACCCGTATTTTGATGATTATGAAATGAGGTATCACATGGTGACTTTTTAATTGAAAGAATTATATTAAAAATATTTTATTTGGAAGGATTTTTATTTAGAAAGTATTATATAAAAGAATTGTATTTGAAAGATATTTATTTGAGGAAATTGTATTTGAAAAGATTTATTGAAAGAATTATATTTGAAAAAAATAATTATTTGAGAAAATTATATTTGAAAGAGAGTTATCCGGAAGAACTATGTGAAAGACATTTATTTGAAGGGCTTGATTTAATTGGGTATAATTGTGTTTATTAATTGTTGAGTGATATTAATGGTATTCTTGTTGTCTGTTGTGCATATCACTGGTTGTTTTATCCTGCCTTTATTATTATTTGTTTCCTATTATTTTGTATATTATATTGCACAGGTTATTAGACTAGTGAGTGTCTTGACTGTACCTCGTCTCTACTCCATTGAGGTTAGTCTTGATACTTACTGGGCACCGCTATGGTGTGCTCACTCTACACTTCTGTACATTGTTGTGCAGAGCCAGGTATTGAAGATAACGGACTTGAGTAGAGTTAAAGCAGGATCGTAAGGATTCAAGGTAGAGCTGCTTGATCGTCGCAGTCCCTTGGAGTCTTTACATTTTATTGTACTGTTAACTTGTAATCAAACAGTATTGTATATTCGGTCCTCGTAATCATTCTATGTATTCAGTTAGAGTTCGTGACTCAGTACTACCAGTCTTGGGAGGTTGTATATTCATATTTGTTCCGTTGTCAGTTTTGATTATTTATTTTAAAAAAAGGCTTCAAAAGGTAATTGAAATTGGCTACCTAGTCTTAGAGACTAGGTGCCATCACGACGCCTATGGTGGGATTTTGGGTCGTGACATCAACTGTGAAGTCCCTGGCGACAGCTGCAGGCTGAATGGCGGCATATCATGAGGAGCATCGTGTGGATCAAATGGTCACATGGCTGATCATCTCTAATATCCTCCACAGGTGCCTCAATGCCCCTTTGCGGGGGACCCCGTCCTCGCTGACCACCACCACCTTGTGGGACACCCCTTCCTCTCTGGTCACACCTGCCATGTCTACCACGTTCAGGCTCCACTGGTGGCCCGCTATGGTAGTCCTCTGGTGGCACATAAGCAGCCTCGTATCCTAATCGCTCATCATCTCGGGCATGCCTCAATGGGCAGCTAGATCTGTAACCTGACAGCCATACTCGTGCAAAGCTGCCGCTCCCTCGCCGGTATGCTGCAGCATCTGCAGTTCCAGTTGGTAGAACTGATGTAATCTAATAGCCTGCATAACATGTCAAATATTAATTATGGAATGATAATTTAACGTTATAAGTAAGTATAACAAATAACATACCAATGTCTCATGCCTCCCAGCGTATGGAATGTACCGACCACCAGCGCGATGAACGGGATCCCTAACATGAAGTCGGGTAACGCTGCGATACCAGCCCATATACTCATGCTCGCTATCCGTACGCTCTGGTGCAGGAGGTGGAGGAATCAGGTCATACCTCTGGTCCTAAACCTTAATCTGGACCTCTAGCCAGTCCAAGTATGTCTAGTCAACCCTGGAATGATCATCCCGCTGGTAATGTGTCCTAAGACAAGCGGGCGGAATAGGTACAAGCTTCGGTCGACCAAACTGGCGAAGGACTCGCTCGGTGGAATGATGCTCGACAATATCAAGACATATCAGTGGGACAGAAGAGCTCCACATAGCTCGGCCGCGGGAGCAATTATCGGGCAAACTAGCTATGAGCGCGTCGCTGTATGGCCTCCATAAGAACTATTAATCAAACACAGGAATCGTGAGTAAATACAACACATATAAAGCCAGGCCAAGTAAACTTAAGAATACATGTACCTGCGCGCCTTCAAGCAAATCCAACAAATCCTTGTAATAGGGGAGATGATATCGAGCCTCTACCTCGCATCTGTATCCTCGCCTATCAACCCATCTCTAAGCTAAAAGGGAGAAACGGTGGAGGTGGTGCATCTGGAGCGATGGGTGGTATAGGTGGCTGTAATTGCAGGAAGCTCTCCCAAGCCCAAACCTAATATGGATTGTGGACGTAAAATTTAAGGTATTCTCACCCTTTGTATGTTATAATCATGAAAAGAATTGACTATGTTTTCACCTGCAGCAACGGTAAAAATCCGGCACCGTCTCTCTGGGTGCCCATGGACGCCCGGCACATCTGCCTATACAGGTAACCTAGAACAGCTGCACCCCAGCTGTAACCAGGTAAATCAACTAGCCGCTCAAGATGATGCAGAAATCTCAAGTTGACTAGGTTTTCCGAAGTGTTCGGAAATAGTACACCACCAAACATCAGCAATAACACCAATCTCGTGTGCCGATCGATAACCTCCGGCGGTGAATCATCCGTAATCTCCGCATCCATCACCTCCAGATGCTGCCGGACGGGCGTCAGCTGCAAATGAGTGGCTCCACTCAATGCCGTCTCCTCCGCTGGCTAGAATCCGGTGAGCCGCTGCAACATATGCAGGTAACGCAATCCCCTATAGTCTCTAAGAGCATGCAGGTAAGCTACAGGTAACCCATCAACCGGCAGCCCGAAAAGAACCTCCACGTCCTCAAGCGTGATGGTTGCCTCGCCGACGGGTAGATGAAACGTGTGCGTCTCCGGTCGCCACCGCTCTATCATAGCCGTGATCAATGCCCAATCGAACTGCAACCGGCCTATCTCTATGATCCTGTAGAAACTCGTATCCGGAAGGCGTCTAACTATACAAGGATGGAGTGAGCGGTCCCTAATGAATTCCCACATATCGTCTATACGTCTGGCGCGGAATGTCTGGGACAAACACTGCCCATCCCATATGTATGAAGACCTATGCTCACCCTGTAGCAACAGTAGCTCTAGCGATGCAGGTCCGGGATGTACAGGCGGAACCTCCATGACGATGACTGTAAATTGAACAATATTAATTAAAGTAGTTTTCTTTTTAATTGCTTAACATCTTTAAATTCATTGCAATATCTTTAATATTAAAATTTATTCGATATTTTTACTATATTGTTACTTAGGTTGATATATTTTCTATATTATAATTTTATATGTTAATTTATTATTTTATATGTTGGTTTATAATTTTATATGTTAGTTTATTACTTTATATGTTACTTTATTATTTTATATGTTAGTGTAATATTTAATATATTTGTTTATTATTTTATATGTTAGTTTATTTTAATGTTTCTTTTCTTATTCACTTATTTTTTTAGTATAATAGAATTAAATAATTAATTTTTATAACTATACATGCTTTAATTATTAAATATTCATATAAAAATACTTAGTTTGACAAATATTGTTATTTTTAAATATTATTTTCTTACGTTTGTTGACTAGAATTCGAGAGAGTTTGTGTTTGAACTATCATCTTTTTCAGATATTTTTGGGGCTAACAGATAATTAAATGATTAATTTCAATAACTACACAGATACTATGCAAAAGGGCACTGCATTTTACTACACTAAAGGGCACTACATTACAATTACGAGCACCACATTAAAATTACGAGCACAACATAACACTACAGAAAACTAAACAACATTAAAGTCATATATTAATATATGTACAACAATAACATCTAAATAAGATTAATTATTCCTAAAATAATAATTTATCTACTTTACTAATCATTTAGCACATAAATAATCTAATCCGGATAAAAAATAATAAATTAATTTAATTACAAAATAATTACGAAAATACATATACCACAGTAAAAAATAACTAATTACCATTTTTTATAACAACTAAAAATATTAATTATTCATAAAATAACAATTTCTCTATTTTACTATTTTTTTTAGCACACTAATAATATAATCCGGATAAAAAATAACATATTAATTAAATCACAAAACAATCACGAAATAACATAGAACACAATACAAAATAACTAACAAGCATATTTTATACATGAGTTTTAACAAAAAATAAGTCGGAATACCTCGATTTTAATTTTTTTGAAAGTTGAAGATTTGATGATTTGAAGCCGAAACGAGCAACACACTATGCAATAACGCCTTAGATACGATGTTAGCTTGCTACAATACGANCGCTGTTGTGGAATAAAAAATTGAAAGAGAGGGTTGCTGGTTCGCGTCTGGTGGGGAAGGAGAAGGGCACGTTTTTTTATATAGGTATAGTGCGTATATATACCGTGCTATACTATAGCGCGGTATATATGCGTGCTATACCTTCCTGCCCATTTTAAGTTCAAATATCTATTTACCGCGTTATATATATAATGGTGCCCAGTTTTTTTTTTTTTTTTTTTTTTTTTTTTTTTTTTTTTTTTTTTTTACCTATTATGATCACTTGAATCCAAAAATACCACAATTGGGTTTCGAATTCACCATATGATACCCAAAAACAAAGACAAATGGAAAATAAGTTGATTCAATCACCTATAAATTTAGTGCAGAACAGTACCAATGTCACAACACAACCGCCCCACCCCGCATTAGATTTTGAAAAATCAGTTTCAACCTGCCCGCACTGCACCGCCCTAGTGCCCATTGCCATCCCTACCCGTAAAGGCATTTTGATCTATTATTCCAAACAAACACACATACACACACAAACACAGAAAAAGAAGAAATTTTTGAGGATGGACGGAGGGACAAGGATCTTATTTTAGAATTTTTTCAAACTCTCATGGTAGCTTGATCTGTGTTCTCCTTTTTCGTTGGAGTTCGCCACTACTCATCTTGCGAAAAATTATAGTGGTTGGTAGAATATTGTGTTTGAGGTGATGGTGGAGGTATTCTCAGATCGGGTCATAGGGTGGATTATTAATTTGAGTATTAAGATTTAAGATGGGGCTTTTTTTTTTTTTTTTTTCCAAAAGGTTGGGGGCTTAAGATGAGCCACGTGTAGGAGGAAGGCTTGGGTCTAGGGTCTGTTGGATGAGAGGGTAGATATGTTTAAATGGGTAACAATGACTATAAAAATTATCGAATAGTATAACAGAGCTATATATGACTAATATGTCATAGTACAAGGGCAAATATTTCCTTTTCAGTATTTTAAATCTATTTGAGTTTTTTTAAAACCTAAGGGGCGTTATGGGGTTTTAAAATTCTTCAGTGCATCGAGTCTTTAATACTCTCTGGAGCTGTTGCCCCTTTCGCTAAGACAAACTTACTGATTGATTAAAGTTTAAGAGTGCCAGAGTGGTACATGTATGTAACAAAGACTTTTCAGCATACAGTATACTATAAGCAATAAAAAGCATATAAAGGATCAGTTGGTGTACAATCAATATAGTCTATTCAGAAAAGATATACAATTAAAGTACTAACAGATTCGATAAAATCTCATGAGCATCCCACGTGATTTTTGTGTAAGTGTATCAAATTTAACTATAGTGTATGTAGGAGCGGCAAAAGGTCGGGTCGGGTTGGATATGTGGGGGTAAAAAACGGGTAATGCAAAAACGGATAAATTATCCGACTCAACCCATATTTAATACGGATAGAAAATGAGTTAATCGACGGATAATATAGATATCTATATTATACATGACTTCTTGAATATGATCACTTTTGGAAGAATTTCTAGTATCCCAAAATTGAGGAACCCCAAATTTGAGTCATTGCAAATATAAAAGTTAAACCAATTGGTTATCCATTTTTTAAGTGTATAATATAGATCTTTGACCAATTTTTAAAAAATTATTTATACAACTACCTTTTTTAGTGGATAATATAGATGGATTCTTTTATTTATTTTGTCACCACTAAGTGTATGTATATGTGTGTGCATGCGTTGTGTATATCAAGTTAATATAATTTGCAAGACCAGAAAGAAAAGAGAGAAAGACCCTCATTTTGCAACACCAAAAAGTTTCATCCTTACTCGGCTACAATGAGTCAATTATATGGTGCAGTGCAGTAATGACTTCAAGTTACGAGGGCAGGGGCAAAGCTTCAAATTCGCTTACGGATTAAAAAATTAATAGTTTTAGTTTTAGCTTAAGTTCAATATTTGTATTAAAAAATTCACCCTAAGCAGTCTTTTCTAAATAATCTAGAACCTATAAACTCAAAATCCAAGCTACGCCTATAATCTACAGATGAGTGTTTTAAAATCGTCTAGCTTTACAAATTAGATCTGGTGTTATATTTCTTTTTTCTCCAAGTATATGAAACCCGGCCTTCTGCAGGTAAGAGACAGAACATGATTATGTATTGTTTCACCTTGAAGGAAATTAAAGGAGTTTTTAGCTAAAATTATCCTTTATCTTTGAGGAAAGATATAATGTACTCATAATCTGCTGAAATTAGTCATGAACCCGAGCCACTGTCAATGCCAGACATTGATCTTGTGAAGGTGAAAGAGCTGTGTTTTCTGGTGGAGAAAAAAGAAATGGACTGATTATGAGAGTGAGAAGTGGGTTTTTGTTCAAGCGTAAGTGGGTATTTTTTGTTATTTAGACTAAATATGCTCATGTTTTGCAAATTTGAAGGACAAATGGTGCTCAAGGTCATCTTTAAAGGATAAAGTTGAATCTACCCATAAAGATAAAGGATAATTTTGACTAAAAACTCTAAATTAAAGCCCTGAATTTGAAAAAAAATTAAAAAAATGGAAAGTGAATGTCTTTAAAAGTATGTAGTTACATATATAAATGTGGCCTAGAACGTTTGAAGTTCATCTCTCATTTCTAATCACATATTATGTTCTCACTTCACTCTGTCGTAATTTATTCCTATTAGAGTTGAAGTAAAGGCCCTTACTGTTATGTTCAACGAACTCCAATGCTCATTACGATATATTAAATGCTCAAAGTATTTAAGTTTTAAAAATTTTAAAATTTCCAAAGACAGGTTCTAATGAAAAAGTACTCGAGCCGCGGCCATATTTGGTATGATCTTCTTGGAAAATCTTCTCCTTATTCAATTAAAAGATATATTTTTGGGAGAATACGCCTTAACGATCAATAGTTAATAACGATTCTGATAGATGCTTTTACTGGAATAGGCAATAATGAAATTACTGTTTTAGTAAATGATACAGTATAACCATATGTGCTATGTAAAACCCACTGACCTAATTAAGTTGGATCACAATTGTATTCCGAACTGTCTCCCTCCTTTTTTTATTCTGTATTTAGACCTCGTAATTGAATTTGAGTAAGGTTGAAAAGTCGGCTTAGTGAGAGCGATTGCAAAAGTCGCTAAATTGGTTAATCTTTTAGTTCTCCCATATTAGAATATCAAAGGAAGACGTCGCAAATACCGGAGGCAAACACGACTTCTTCTAATGCTAGAAGACCGTTAGAAAACACCCAAAACTATAGTATGTCATGACTTTCACATTGTGCCCATATAGCTCCCTATAAAATATTTCATTCCAAGCTTTAACCCGAAACTTTTAGTTAGGGGTGGAGGAATCTCATGCATCCATCAATCGCACCTTTGGTGATGAAATTATTTTTTGGTAACTGTAGCGATCTAACCGGTTATTTTGAGTTGTAGTACCTCGTTTCCCTATTTGAGACTTTTTCAAGGTGCATTCGGTGGTTTATGACTTGCATGCCTGATTCGAATGGATTCCGTGAAGTCTGGGAATGAATCAGAATGATGGTAGGCTATAATCTCGTGTTTTAGTCGCTTATTGCACTCTAATTTACTGCACTTTGATTGTGCTTGAGCTTTAATCGCTAGTGTTTTGTATTTATCGTGTGTTCTATGCCTTGTAGGAGTGATTCCGAGCTATGTAGATGTATGGAATGAATTCGAGCTATTTAGAACTTTGAAGTCTGAGTAAAAGCCCAAGGGATTAAGCCGAGATCGTGTTCGGGGGTCGAGCACCAAGTCTGGATATCAAAAAGCGAGGAAAATTCGTACTCTAAGAAAACCCCACAGTAGCGACGCGTGGG